CTTTCACCAGACCCATCTGGAAAAGAGGAAACCTATTCAGTGGGGATTTTACCTTACCTACCTCATTCTGAAATATAGCACACCAGTGGTATTTTGTAAGCCAACTGCTTCATGCCTTTATAGTCCCCCATTTTTGCTTGCCAATGTCTACATTTCCTGTGCTATCAATACAGTATACTGTGGAGTCAAGCATGTTCTTTGATATGAGGAATCTTCCATTCCGGTTGGAATTTTGAGCCAACCACATCTATAAGCAAAAGTCCAGTTCATCAAATTGTAGCAATTTATGGTTGCTCACAGTATCAGATATCTTTATCTTCATCTGGTCGGGTTCCAATCACATCAGCCTAGACATCCAAACTAGGTCAAATGGTACCAACTGCAAGTTTGAGAGTTTATGCTCACTTTTCTGTACTTCAGACCAGATGGCCCCTTCACCTCAGCTCTTGCCCTAGGAGTTCATACAACTCCCTGAAGTTAAGACCAACCAGCTGTTCCCTCATCACTCTCTCATCTCAAGGTCAGTGGATGCCAATGAAACATGTCCAAATCTTTATTGCTGCATTTTCCCAAATTCCACTTATAAGTACATCCAGTTGGTCAACCAACGAACTAGCATACTAGACTGATCGCAGGTTCCCTTTAACTTTCAGTACTAGAAGTAGGTTTACCCTGATAGTCTGACTTTTCTTGCCTTGATGCCGTCAAAGCAAACATCAGCTATAGTGTCTTTTATTTAGTTGTCGTTAAGTGTCGTCGAGTCGGTTCTGAACATTAGCGACCTTGTATAGGGTTTCCAAGGAGTGGCTTTTGTTTAGCAGTCTTATTCTAACCTTTCATTTAACCCTAGTATTAATTGAAAACTCCTCTCCTGGGTCCACTTTATATTGTGTGGTTACCTTGCATATGATACCAAACCAAACCAAGTCCACGGCCATCTTAGTTGATTCCAACTCATAGCAAACCTATATACAGTTTCTGAGATTTTCATCTTAAAAGAGCAGAAAGCCTCATCTTTCTCCCATAGAGTGGCTGGTCAATTTGAACTGCTGATCCTGTGGGTGGCAGTCCAGTGCTTATCCTACAGAGCCACCAGGGATCCTTTGTATCTAGTTGTTTTTATTGTGTTCCATCGAGTTCATTCCAACACATAGCGACTCCGTATAGGGTTTCCAAGACTTTAAATCTTCAGGGAACAGAAAACCTCACCTTTCTCCCAGTGGAGTGGCTGGTGGACTCAAACCATGGACCTATGGGTCACAGACCAGTGCTTATCATATGGA